GCATTGATCTCAAATACTAGAAACATCTACAGCACAGTAACCTGCATGGGACACATTCCAGAAAGCCATGGTTTTCTAAGTGGTCATCAAAATCACAATGATTTAATTTGCTCATGAAACAAGTTGAAGTGTTTCTACTTGCTTCTTAGTACCCACTGTTAATCTGCTATTTTACCAACAGAAGCAGTTGTGGAACATACAAAATGAAGAAGGGAACACATCTGGCCACTGAAAACCCTTTCTCCAAAAATGAAAACAGCCAGAAACCCAATCCAAAGCAAAAACAACAACCAAGCCAGGATCACAAAAGTTTGAAAGAGAGCAAAGGGAAAAAGAGAACAGTTCAAACTCGGTCACTGGACAGTATAAACTCTGAAATTGCACTCTGGGGCTACTAAAACAGCAGGATATGAATTTAATGCTCATTTGGCACATACAAATGTTGGTGCTTCCAACATCTTCCATCAATGGGAGAATGAGATTTATAATCAGTAAGGAATGAAGAAGTGGCATTCTAAACTTCTAAACAATGTAAACAGAAATAAGACAGGGATTAGATCTGACTGTGAGTAGTGATGGAAATTAAATTGTCTGAAATAAGCAAGGTCACCTCAGGTGGTGGAATTTCACTAGAAGTGAGCCTGGCTGCATTATTTTAGAGCAATTAGGTCTGGGTAAGAGGCTGCAATATGGTACATTACACACTGTAACCTAGAAAATAATCCATATATTCCAGCTAAGTACGTATGTTTGAGACAGGCTCAACATCTCAATTAAATGCAGACATTTATTGCATAGACCACGTTTGATATGGCATGTCAAATTCAGCAGAGTTGTGTGGGCTTTTGTTGTTGTTTCTTAAGTTCTAATTTCTTATACTCTTCTTATTTAGCTGTCACTGAAACTTTTTTACTCCTACTCTACAGGTATTTGAGACGTCTCAGCTGGCGTAATTTGCACTTCAAAGACGCGGCAGGCCCCCACACTACTTCAGCTACCCCTTTTCTCTGGCTGAAAGGCATGTGAATTACACCGTATAGCACTCCCTGCTATCAGCAATATCAGTGGGTGGGAACACTTCAAAAGAGGGCTAAGGAACAGCAGGCTGCGCTTCAACCAAAACTCTGGGATGAAACATTACTTCCACCTCTTATCACGAGTTTCGATCTGATGGGAGAAGCTGAAGGATAAATAGTTTTCCTAATGAGGGCCTATGAAACTTGCGCTGTGGTTGTTACAAATGCCTCTCCCAGGCTCTAAAGGAGCAGAGCAGAGCACAACAGTGCCCAGGCCAGGACCCCGCCGATGCAGGGGCCGCTGAGCCGCACCTGCCAGCCCGCTCCGGCTGCGGCGGCCCCGGGGCGGTGCGGCGCTGCCACCTAGCGCCCGGCTGAGCCCCTGCTCCTCTCTCCCTACATCGGGCCCTAAGGACCTCGCCGGCTCTGGAAACCGGCAATAAAGATGCTCTCCGTGGGGACGGGACGTTGTCTGCCCATCTCTAGCACGGTCCCATAAATGGCAAAAGAGCTCTGTGAGAAAAAGCCTCAGTAATCGAATGGGAATCGCCACGGGTTCAAAAGGAAGTTTCCCCCATTTGATAATACGTTGCCTGTGAACCAGTTCATATGCAAATACTGAAAACCTACAAATGTATATTCAAATATGATTCTTTTCCAGAAGATACCATCAAATGTCACCTTTATGTCTACATTAAAAAGTTTCAAAAATGGATTCCAGGAGCATGAAAACATCATTAAACTCTAAATAAGTGTATCAGTTTTGAAGAGGAAATGGATAGGAGATGCAGATAGAAAACTTCTATTGTATGGGGAAAAAAAAGATACAAGGGATAGAAAGTAAAAGTAAAAAGGAGAAAAAAGAAGGGCATGCCTATTACTTCTTACTATTACTTCTTGTAGTAAGAATAGGGGCTAAAAGATGTGAAATTATTTCTCAAAGACATTTTGTTTCATCACCTACATGAACTGAGGACACATACCAAGTTACACATGGAAAACCATCCAGCCTCCAACTTCAGCTTCAGCTTGTTGTCTCCCAACACAGAATGTGGGAGAAGTTTTCCAGCAATGTATATGCTTGTGACGAAGCAATGAGAGCAGAAACTGGAATGAAATTTCTAGATTAATAGACTCCAGTTAATTAAAAATGTACATAGTCGCTTGTGACTTGTTAGCCTTACATTCTATTCTTAGCACAGCTAATTAATGTTGAGACACCATAACTCAATAGTATTTTTCTGTCCCAGCAATGACAGAAGGGATCACTCAAATGATCGTTTGTTCAGTTACTGTTACCACAGAATAAATGCATGTGTGGTTTCTGTACTGTATTATAAGTGATAAGTAAGGGGGCACAGGGGAGTACCTGTTAGTCCTGCCTTAACTACTGCAGTTCTGGAGGAAGAGAAGACAGCACAAAGCAGCTGAGCACACTTGGTGTGGAGAATCTATTAGTTTGCAGAACTCAGCAAGCAGGAGACTTAGAATAGGAAGCAGCCACAGAGCCAGGTTTCTACTTGGACAGAAACGATGATTTTTGCAAGACTTCCGTGTTAGATTTGGTAGTTGTGGAATCCAGGCAGCCAGGGGCAAGTTGCTGACCAAAACAGAGCCTGAGGAAAGAGATACTACCATGAAATGACACATGATCATAACACAATATGTTTACAAATGCATCTGTTCTTTTTTACACATTTATCATAGAATAACAGAATGGTTTGGAGTGGAAGAGACCTTAAGGATCATCCAGTTCCAACCCCTTGGCACGAGCAGGCACATTTTCTACTAGATCAAGCTGGCCTTGAGCACTTTCTGGGATTCAGCATATTTTTTATTTCATTGAGAATTGACTTATGGAAGATCAAATCACACTTGATAAATCCTAGATCAAGAGTCATTACAAGATTTGGGCACCAGAAATGAGAATTTCTGTATAAAAATCTGTGGCTTTTACTTAGCCCCTTAAATTCAGAATGCAAAACTACTTTCATTTTCAGCAGTCAAGCTTATCCTCTTTGGGAAGTTAGTTCAAAATTCGTAGGGTACATGAAAACACATTTTCTGAAATCACATGCATTTCATAGAGCTCAAGCAAAAGCAGGTTACTCCAGCAGAACATTTATATTCTATCACTGTCTTCCTTGCTCCTTACTGTAGTGTCTGAGACTATCACATCTATTTCAGGAATTTATTTTCATCTCTCAAAAACGGTGGGTTAAGTATCCTCAGTAATCTTCAGCCCCAAGAGAAAATGTGATACATAACAGAAGATTTTCAGTATCAGGGAAGGCTGCAGGGCACTTCCAGAACCTTTTGAGGAAACCAACTATTTTTGCTTTCCTTTAAAAAAAGTCTTGCTAGATTTACCCAAGATCAGAGGGGTGTATTGGAAAAAGGCAGGAACTGAACTACTGTCTCATGTCAGTCTTAAAATAAACAAGCAAAGCGTACAATAACAAGGAAAACAAAAAAACAACCAATCAACAAAAACAGAAACAAAAGAACCCCCAAACCAACAAAGCCTCCTGGAAAGCATACGTACCATTACATCTGAAGCAAATATATGGATTTCCTCATCCATGAACAGAAATTGTTCTGGTTTTTGTTCATTTTCTTTTTCTTTTTTTTTTTTTTTTAGTAAGAACAAGTATTTCTACAGATTATTAACTTGCTAGCCACCCGTCTACTTCAGTAACAAGGATAAAAATCGATGAACCTAGCAAATATATTTAAAATTTTTATAAATATCTGTCACATCGTTTCATACATTCACAACTGTAATACTCTCTTAATGGTTTCAATGAGTTCATTTGAATTCACAATCATTGCACAATAGTGTAATTCTATGCACTTCAATGGAGTTACATCTGTCTTGCATAACCTAAAATAAATCTCTTCAAAACAGAGTGTTTATTTCCTCTTTTAAGCAATAGATCTGTTTCAATCTAGGATTGAAATAATTCTGTATGACAAGCAATTACTCTTTGACAAGATTTTTTTAAAGATCAAAATAGATCTCAGAAAAGAATGGGGAAAATAAGTAAATTGGAACCTTTCCTACTTTCTAATCATGAGTTCTACACCCACATAGCCCATTATGTCCTGTTTCAACTTTAGTAATTATATTGTCAAACTACATTTTAAGAGCTCTTTTTGAACGTACAAGGTAACGTTTATTAACACAGATGAGGCATACATAATAAAAACATAAACAGCTTAATAAATGCAATCAAAATAATCAGTACACTAAATATATTTAAATGGTGTATTCTAAAGGCTTTCATTCACAGGTGAATAGCACTTTACTTCCCATTTTCATACAAATTACAGCTGTATTCTTCCATGGATGATTTCCTCTCCCATAGTCTTTAGCGACTGTTTCTTTTTTTTCTTGATTCTTATGAATCTTCTTCCATCTTTTTTTTTAAGGAATCCTGAAGGTAAAATGACAAAGTTAAGACTGGATGACTAACATTCACGATAATCCAAAATGAGACAAGTCTTGTTTTCAAGAAACATCCTTGAGAAAAGAAAAAGGAACATTCTGTCTTACCTAAAGTCTTCATATGCCCGACCAATGTTAAGCAGCCGGTTCTGTACACAGTATTTTAGTGTCCATCCTTCTCTCTCTAGCTCTCTCTTCTGATTACCAGTTGCACTTTGCCAGTACTTTCAGCTATTACATTCTATCAGGTCAGTACTTAATACTAAAAATTGCAAGACTATTTCAGCCTATAGCATGCATAATACTTGCCTTTTGTGACAGTCTGTGGCAATATCAGTTCTCATACCTTTCCTGCAAATTCTTAAACATGACTTCCTGGAGGTGAAATTATTTTCATTCCCACCACAACCACTGTAGGTAAATGGACGACATCTTCTAGTTGAGTAATTGAAGAAAAACCTGGTCTCTTTAGCTCTACAAAGTCCTCTATCCATAGGAGTCATGCACAAAGAAGGGACAGGAGGTGGTTCTAGAAATACCAGAAAAAACAAGGTTATACACCACTGTCATGTTTTTGTTATGCTGATATTTTACATGAGAACTGAAGCTTTCAGAACCTTGAAACATATGAAATTTACTGGCAAATTTAATTCTGTCCCTCTGAAAATCCAGGATAGTGGAGCATAAGTGTTTGTCATTTTATGACCATGAAAAATAACAGCAAATATTATTCTCTCTTTCACTTAAAAAAGCAAACAAAACCTTACCTGAAAGCTAGGTTTGGTTAATATGCATTTAGATAAAATCAGCATTTCTGTGGTCGGAGATAATATTCAAATTCAATTGTAGGAATATGCTTGTAAAATATGAAAGAACTGAAATCAAGACAGCTTTAAAAAAAATGGTAAATATTGATGATAATCGAAGAATTGAACTTTCCAAATTACTGACAGATATTCTGAAATCATACAGAAGGGCTGCTCTGAAAGTAATGCGTCCTATTTTATTCTGTTGGCCCACTATGTCAGAGATGAATGTTAGTGGTGTGGCACCAGAGGATGAAGCTTCCAACTAATATTTTGTCACATTTTGTTGTCATGCAACAGATGGCAGCAGAGAGACAGTCTGACAAAATGGCTTCTGACATGGAAGTGACGTAAGGTGTGACACCAAATTTCTCCCTGTGGAAAAAATGGTACAGATTGACATTCATTGATACTTGTGAATGTTTCTGGAGCCCCAAACAGTGGATGCAAGCACAGTGAGACATTGTGTGGTGCTTTTTAGTGGTGGCAATAGCAAGTCATCTTCACTGGTGGAGATTTTTAAAAGCGCAGCATGCAGGCTCTTGTTCATCGTTGATGAAAATGCACATAGCCAGTGGTGGTGATTATGCTGAAAAATAGTTTTATAGCTGAGAATTTGCTCTACCAACTAGCACTATTGTGCTCTTTGCAGCAATTGTGGTTTCCAAGGAAATAAAGGAGGCATTACTTTTGGAATGATGTACATGGATAGCATTTTTTACTTAAGATTGAATACCTTATTGTTTGTTTGGTTGTTGTTTTGTATGACTATAGAAAGCTTGACCTAAGTAATAAAATTTGTTCTACTGGAGAACACCAAGGAGTTATCAAGAAAATGCTTCTAACTTGCAGAAAAACCAACAATTGAATGCAAAGATTTAACTGCTGAAAGCAACTGCAATGCGGGTGATTTCAGGGGTGCCGTTAAGTTTTTACCATTCACAGAAGGCTGATGTTTTATTTCTTCAGGTTGCTGCAAGTGAGATTGTGAGAACTTAAATACCCTGACTTAACTGAAGTACCTGTGCACGGGGCAAATTCAAGCAGTTCACCTATGCCAGAATTCCCAAATCTGGAGAAACTGTTATCTACCATCGTGGAGAGACTCATAAACAAAAGCACAACTGACATATGGTTGCTGTACAGAACACAAAAAGATGAACAGGAATCACTGTATCGATAGTTATGAGGCATCTGAAGGAGTACCATTTTCCTTAAAGAAGCTTCAGAGTTGAGATAATTGAAGTCTGATTGCATAAAAGGACAAGTGAAGCTAACTAAATCGTGTTCTTGAAGTTAGAAAGCCACGTAGCCAGCAAAAGTTCTTCAGAGGAAAGACCAAGTGAAAATTTTTGGAAATAACTTGGGTTACAACAGAGTTGGAGGCATCCTGCTTTTCAGAAAAGTGGGAAGCAAGTGAGTTACTGAAAGCAAGAAGTTATGAATTAACTTGAGCAATTCAAGAGGCTGAAAAGGAAAAAAACCAAAAAACACAGAGAAGAATATGCTACACTTCATATTTGTCTCGTACATATCTTATGAAAAAGGCTTGTTTGCTAAGTATAACAGCTGAACTGGCGTGGTGAAAAAAACATGAAAAAATTGCAAAAAAAAAAAAAAAAGAAATAAAAAGGTAACTTACAGAAGGCAGGCAAATGAAATTATTAATATATTCAAAGCCACATTAGCAATAGTGTACTATTCAAGAAGAATGTTGCAAACGCAAAAACTGAATCATGAAATGGTATTTCAAGACAGATAAAGCTAGTTTCAAGTTATGAAATCAGCACTAATTAATTTCCCTGTATTACCTGTGACATTATTATAACAGAATGTGAAGTTTATTTTTGATCCAGAATACATGCCTAGAATGGATATCAAATCTACTATCCTATTTATAATGAAGATGGAAGATAAACTGACAACTGCTGGTTTTGGTACTGGCTTTTTGGGAACTCCTGTGCCTAGAAGTAATGACGCCGTGGCTGGAAGGAAACTCATATTCAAAAGAAATTCTTTGAAACATCAAAAAAAATCAACCCAACAGAACAAAACGTGCTTAGCTATTTTATAGCAACACAAAGGCTTTCCAGTGATGAAGGGGGTAAATTAAATTGTTTTGTTAATTACAATAGAATTTAAATATACACTTGTAATATAAACTCCTTTTCTGGTACGTGGATTTTCTAGAGAGATTCCCAAGTCCCCTCATGCAGGTGTTCTCAACAACTGAAGTTTTGGAGCTTTGGTAACTGGTAAGTAAGGACTGTTTATAGTATGTATAAAGCAACTGGCAGAGCGGCATCCAAATGCTTTTCAGACTTCCTGTTTCTAAAGATTATGTATTGTATTTTGTTTCTAAATTTGTATTGTTCCTAAAAATGACATTATAGTCTAGATCACCAGAAAAATGCCCAAGACGCTATAACATTATTTCTGCTCATCTGCAAAATAACTGCATATTCTTCACACTGACAGAAGCAATCAACTCATGAAGAAAACTTCTTAATTTTGTCATACAGCAAAATTCTGAAAATTGTTGAAATGGTTTTTTATCTCCAAGTTTTACTATGAGGAAAAAAAAAAGAGCAAATCCTACAAACGACAAAATTGCAGACTAAGGGATATACATTAAAAACAGTAAAAACAAACAAAAACTGCCAACATATTCCACTACCAGAATTATTTTCCCCTAATGTAATCATTAAATTTGTGTAAGTTAATTATAGATGTCAACTTCATTGCGAGAATAGTCCAGATAGAAGTGTTGTTTTTTGTTTTTTTATTTTTAAATGTACTTTGCTCTCAATTTGGATTGTGCTTTACCAATACCATTTTACACTGCCTTTAGTATTATTCATTACATTTCACATACTAACATATCAACATCTTTTGGATCAGACAAAACCACAAATTAACAAATGTCAGGAAACACTTTCTAACTTCATTACATATGGGGTCACGTGACTGATCCTATGGCATTTGATTCATTTTATATAAAATCAAATCAATATTTGCACTGACATCAACAAGGCCATAAGACTGTCTTCATGCTTGTGCTCATCCTGTTCCATTTATCCAAAATACCTCATTTAAATAGGTTTTAAATATCCAGTACCAAGCTCATAACCTTGGATTAGCTATGAATATTATTTGCAAAAAATATGTGATAAAAGTCAGGTCATGAACGGGCATGTCAAAAAATAATTTAGAATTCATATAGGGAAATGACATCCAATAGGTTCCTAAAGTTGCTACCCAGAAATGTTTTAAAGCTCACAGTTTAAAATACAATTCTTAAAATAATGCCTTTTCTTGAATCCCAGACAGCCTCCCTCTGATGTAAACAAGAGATACTTAGGAATTTATGAAACATTTACATTGAGATATAGATTCATATTTATAAAAAAAATCTCAAATTGAATTTGCAACAAAAAGCGCTTTATCTCAGGCTTAGCTGGGGTTGAAATGTGTGACAGTGAACTGTTAATTAATTATAATATGAAAGACATTTGAAATGATCTTCATGAGCTAGATGAAAATAAGACTTACTCTATGCTCTTTCACTAAACATAGTATTGTGGCATACATGAAACTTCAGACTTCAGATTCTTATTCCAGTTACAGCAGAGGGATAAAAAAAACACTCTTCAAGTACAGAAACTGCTACAAACAATAATGAGTCATCTCCACTTAACAGTATTCTCTAGGCATAAATTGGTGCAGATCCATTAAAGCAAACACAGCTGTGTCAATTTCTATCAGCAAAAGATATGGTCCTGACTTTAAAAAATAATAACAGGAGCTGCTTCTTTTTGCCATTCCATACTTACTGAGTGGAAAGTTGACATTTGATCTTACATCCCACTTAGATTTCACAAGCTGAACATAATATACAGCACCCTTAATTTCCATAGGTCACTTCCATTCCACACGCTCATTATCTTACAGAATGTATAATACACAAAAGCATTGATCAATCTGTCATTCAACCCCCAAAAGTACAAGTAAGATTAAATGCAAAAAAAGAACAAACAGAAATACTTGGTAAGAATGCTCAGTCTTTTCCCAATTGTTTCTTGTTTCCTCTTGCATAACTGTGGATCATAAAAATGATATGCCTCAAATTCAATCCAGCTGTACAGTGTGAGCAAATACCAGCAATCTATAGTGGAAATTATATTATATAGTAGTGCAACAATACCTTGAAGTAGACATGAAATTCATTCACACTCACCTTGATTATAATCAAACAAAGAGCTAAGTTTAATATAGCCTTAACAACAGTAAAAATGTGTTATGATAAATATATTTTGTATTTCCCAAATTCCAAGAATGATTCTTTCTTAATTTGTAAAATGAGCTTTAAATCACCTGCCAGTTAGAACCCCACAGAAACATTCATTTTGACTAAAAGATTTCTGCATCACTGCTTTTGCTTTTGATCTCTTTAATGCTTTATGTCTATGACACTTCCAGGAAGCACCACACTTTCAGAACAGGACAAGGTGTGATCAGTATTTCACTGTCTGGTATCTATAGAAGATATATAAGTAGAAACACATTTCTTCACTTTGACTTGCCCTGCTGACCAAAACAACTGACACAGATCGAAACCAATTCTTTAGTCTCAGATACACTGGAAAATAAGTGGAAATGGAAAAGAAATCAAGAGCACAGATAAAACTGAGAGCTAAGAACTGCAAAAGGAAATTCTTACCAAAAGAACTGGGAAACCGCTTGCGCTCTTCCTCTTGGTAACTACCATTCACAATATGGGACTCTTCCTCATTTGGCGTAGTTGGCAACAAATTTACTAAAAGGAAAAAAAAAAAAGGCAGGGGGGGGATGAAACAGTAAGTGATAGGCTATCTAGACACAACAAAGTACTGAAAATAAACTGTAATTAGTACCCACCTGATTTGTACCATGCTGTTATTAGTACTACTATAAGACAGCATTCCTTCAAGTCCCAAAGGCAGAGGAAACTTATGTTTTAAAGCAACTTTAGGTAGGATTTCTTTTTCTTCTTTCATTTTATTTATGTGTGATTTAAATTAAACATGGTTTGGTATGGTTGTTATATTACTGGCAGACATTTTGCAGTGATGGTACGTTTTCAAAATATGTATTCTTTATAACAAAAATGGCCACAAAGCTAGCTCTAACGTTCCTGGTTCATTATGCTTATCTATTTCAACTGATGTATAAATCCTCAACTAAACAATTAAAGGAGCAGACAATCTGAGGAGAGTTTGCATTAAAAACCAACAACTATCAACAGCAAAAGTAAATTCTTACCAAAAATCCCAGGAAACTGATTGCGTTCTTCCTCTGGGGAGCTATTGTTCATAAGGTCAGGATGCTCCTCATCTGGAACAACTGACAGTAAGTTTGCTAAATGAAAAATGAAAGGAAAATAATGAAGAAAATCATACACAGGAAAAGGCATTAAAGTTTAAGTATCATTAAAGCAAAAAAATACAAATATATTTTTTCAACAAAACATTTTCTTTTTAAACTATAGCAATATAGCAACGGCTCCTCCACCTCCTGGAGGCTGTGGGTGAGGGAATGTATCCATCCCATGAATTACAACCCAGTACCCTGAGAAGCAGAGAGGAGTTAGGAAAGGTTACTGTATTCTAATACACAACAATTCACAGGAACAAGAAGGACAGCAAAGCAGAAGAATGATCTGGGTCAAAGTTGCTGTTTCATAGCCCAAGCTGCACAGCTGAACCATTCAGAACTGAGAGCCAGGTTTCCCATTGTTCTTTGGTGAGAAGGTAGCAACCCATGGTAGGGTAACTAAAAAATCTTTTCCTCACAAGGTCTCTTTGAAAGGAGTATATTCAGATATATGGGTTAAAATAAACACATGCAAATATTGTATGGCATTATAAGGCCAAGCAGCTAGCGTATCTTAGATTATAAAAGAATAAAAAAGGGAAAAAAAAAAAAAAAAGGCTTTCTGTGGATGCAACTGGAGCAGATCCACTTCTCCATTCTGCCTTTCTCTGTCTTTATAATCTCTATTACCATAATGACTTCGTCTTCAGTGTGGGTATCAATATTTTCACAACATATTTTCCTAGATGACAGCTCTAGAAAGCATTTTTGTAACATCAGTGCCCTAATAGCAAGTACAGTGGAGAAATGAGATGCTCTAATGACAAGGTACAAGAGGAAGCAGTACTCATTGTGGACCAAATCACTTCCTCGGTAGAAACTGATGTTACTTCAATTACTTATCTGTCTGCATTGGTTTACTTAGATATATTAAATAGTATGAAGATTTATGAAACTGAATGGAGTTCCCTCTTATACAATAGGTTTAATACACACTTTTGCAGGGATTTATAGAATTACAATATATGAGGGTAATCAACTACCATGAGAAAAATAAAAAAGGTAGGAGATTCCTGTAATATTCATTAAAATTAATTGTATATACCATTTTTAATAGAATTTTCCTTTTGATTTTACATTTCTCATTTTTGTATGTATTTTTAAAAATACATAACTGTGTGAATTTCAGGTGTAATTTATTACCATTTCAGAGCCTCCTAAGCTGTGTTTTTTTTCCCATGATAAACACCTTCAAAACACAATGCTGTTTATAGAAGAATAAAACTAAGAATAACGAAGACAACAACTTACAGTTGCCTTGGCAGGTAGTCTGGCATTCTTCCAAACTCCTAAAGTTGTTCTGGTTTCCAAGGCACCCACCATACTTGAATATTTCACATATTTTTGTCTCTTTGTTATAGAAATACCTGGAAAAAAAGCCTCGGCAGATTCCAGGGTCTTTCTCTTGATAACAGAAGTTGGGCTTTTCTGTGAATCAAGGTAAATGATGAACAGGGTGAGGGAAGAAGAAAAAACAAAAAACACCAGATGCTAAGACAACAATAGAGTTGGAGGAAGCTGACATAATAAACTTAAGTCACTTTAGAATATAGACCATCTGTAAAATAAATGCAATTCTAATGTACTGCTTTTGTTCTCTCTATATAACACTGCAATATTGTGCTAAAATATTATAGGACATATTCATTGCTTTTCTTTTTTTCAAATAACCAGTAAATCATACCTTGGATAATGAGTATTGTTGAGTACTGTTTAAGTGTTCTCCTAAAAGGAAGCTCTGAGATTAAAATTAAGTTTTATTCTGATTTAAAACCAGATCATTTGAACCTAAGTACATATTCTTTCCACTTATGCAGTTGCTTTAATCAATGTTGGTGTGAATTACACAGAAGGCAATCTTAAAATAAAGGAAAAAGGAAATAGTAGTTAAAAAAAAAAATAAAAAAACATTTTGTCCGGAATTGCCTATTCCTTTAAAAGGTTGTAAGAAACCAGGAGGCAAAGCAACTACTCCAAGTACCATTTTTTAGTCTCAGGTCCTAATCTGCAATGGCTAATTATAATATCAAGAAAAATTCAATAAATGAGTACTGCATAATTTGACTAAATGATCAGACACGATACCAAGCACTCTGGCAGCAAAGAAAAAAAAAAAGTTGTACAATAACCCTCAAATGCTGATTTCTCAATGCATTCCATTTTATTTCTAGATTATCATCTCAAAATCACCACGGAAGTAATAAAACCCATCTGGAGATATTCTCAAATTCTTGCTGGTAGATACTTTGAAATACGATGCTCGACTTACCTCACTTGCTGAGAAAAGTATCTTTAGTCAACTTATGAAATAATCGTGTCAGGCGTGACATGAACCACTGTACACATGAAACTTAACAGAAAAGTGAGGCTAAAACAATGTGCAGAAGACTACCATTTTAATAAAAATGTCCTTAGAACATTTAATTTGAAGTCCCTAACATGTTTGTTGTAATTAAGTTCATCCTAATGCCTTTATTTTTAACTAAGTATCTATTAAAAATATTTAATTTTTGTTACAGAGTGATTTTACCTATTTTTGCTAATGGCAGAGCAAGTATTCAGGTTATTCTCAAAACACACAAGAAAAGGTTCCACATCATATTTCAATTTTTTCTCCTTTTTCTTATTACTGAAGAAAACAAGCTTATTTTAAGAAGAGAGTGACCAGTGTCTGTAGCTGTCCTCCAAATCTTTGATGAAAATGAGCAAAGATTAGATAACTCACCTTAGTATAAACAATGCTGTTCTGCTTAGGAGACAGCTTGGAACAATACATAATCTACCCAAAGCAGCTAAATACCTTATTGTATTTTGTGTAAGACTTATGTAAACATAATTACCTCTCTTAATTTTTGCTAGCATCACCTCCAGAGGCAATTCTGCAATATAAATAAAAAAGAAAAATATTTAATAAAAACAATCATGTAAAGTCTCACCTGTAAAACCAAAATGCTTCACAGTGACTGTGAGCACTGTAGAATAAGAATATAATATATGTTCCCTTTCTTTATTCTCTTTATTAGGGAAGTAGCACAAAATCTTGGTACAAAGGACTGAACTATTGTTTTCTCACGTGGGAAGAACTGATATACTTGAAACTAGAGGATATGGAAAATAGTGGAATTGTGCCCATATTGAATTGAACTGGCAAATTCCTCATGTTCCTGGAGTCAGAATCCTGAATTATATGACCTTATTCCTCAAGAGACATTTAATCAGCAGATTGCTTAGCCCAACGTTGGTAGCTATTGATACTGCCAGCAGCTTCAGAGAAGATCTAGTTAACAACCTCTCACATGGTAGTTCTTTTTGCTGTGCCACATACAGTCAGAGTTAAGTGTTCCTTGTGCTGCTTATGATATTAAAGCACAAGGTTGAAAACAATTCTTTCTGGAAAAACTTGAATTGCTGTTATGTTCCTCCTTGTTATGGAAGCAGTAACATAAGATACTTCTGCAATCCTCATCCTTACACTTTGTGTAATTTTTAATTTTCATAAAACAAACAAAAAATTTCCGGAAACATTATTTGTGTTAAATTTTCAAAGCAAATCTTTTGGGTAGAAATTCTACATATTCTATAATAAAACTACATTTTCCTTGAATGCTACTAAAATATCACCATTAAATTCTGATGGGGGTATGTTTTCTACATACATAAACATACAGAATAAATAATGTTAATTCCTACTGAAAAATCAGCCCAATCTGGATTATGTAGAGAAGGGACATCAGTTTCTCTAGCCAGAAACCTTCAACAGAATGATGATAAGGAAATATTAAAGGTATGTGTTTTAGATTCAGTTTGGTGGATGCTTCAGCCTGCTTGGGAGGCAAGACCAACTCCTGCCTTCTAAACCTCAAGAACTAAATATCTACTTTCCTCAGTTAGAAGTGGCATATTCTGATTGAAGAAAACAACCAAAATACAGACATGGCAGAATTAGTGTTTAGGCAGTAATAAATGAAATCTTGAAACCTACTACTGACTATAAGCTGTGCTCTAGACAGCACAGGGACATTTGCTCTTAAACGTTGCAGGGCTCAGTTTATGAACAGCATCAACAGCTAGAATTTTAGACAGGCAGATCTGCAGAAATAAGAATAAAAAGGAGCAAATGTCATCTTTGCATTAATTTTGTATACTAATCTGCAATTCTAGAAATATCTGAGACTTTAACAAGAAAATAAATCGAATCAGTGATATGAAGGCTCTTTGATTTCTGTACCAGTTCAGTTCAGCACTGAGGTTTGTGCTCTATTCAACCATAGTATTTTAGCTCAATCTTTACAGGTAAGAAAGAAAACCTGCTTCCTTTTCTCTGTAAAACCTTCACAATGCTGAAGGCTTTAAATAATTATTACCATCATTTCTAACTGCAAAAAACAGCACTTTTTTTTTTACAGGGCACTTGTTGTATATTTTGTTTATCATTTTCTTCTTTCTAATGATTAATTCAATTCCGACAAAACAGATCTTTTAAGTCCAACAGCTGTATCTGACATTTTAAAAGAATTATTATTGCAGTTTCAATTTTGCTGAATCATAGCAGATGTTCAAGATTTTTTACGGCTCTATCAGCTTCTAAAGAAGCAGAAATGTAGAACGAGAAATTGGGTGTGATATTTTCAAAGCAATTAATGTGCTAACCACCAGTTTAACCCAGTGTCAAAATCAGTTTCATTTTAACAACTTATTCAAAACATGACCCTAGACAGAAAATAAACTTTCTTGCACTGCTCTCTATTTCACAGATCAGCTAGAAAATCACAATTTATCTTTCCAAATCCAGAATGTTTGCTCGCAGAATCTAAAATAATCCAGACGACTGGAACACAGTATAATAATTGGGAACATCAGAATTACAAACATCATGTCACCATATTAACCAGAACTTTACAAAATTCATAAGGTTTGTGGATAACCTTATGGCTTGTGGCTAGAAGAACCGACAGAAGAAGAAGAAGAGAATGGGTACTGGCCTGTTACCACACATTTGTTCTGACATTCTTCCAAAGTTACAAAGTTGTTTGCATTGCCGTGGCATCCACCATATTCAAATATTTCACACTCACGGCTTTGAATGTTGAAGTAAAAGCGCATGTGGATTGCTTTGCAAGGACCTTCGTCTGCTTTCAGGGCACAGTCTGAATGCCCCAGTTTCAGTGGTGGTAAAGGAACACCTTTGATAAAGAGAAAAAGGACAACTGTTATGGACTCGGATTGCTTCACTGTAGAATTTAAGTTCAAAATCAGATTGCTTGCCTGTTCTGCTAGAAAAACACTTGCTAATATACATGTGTAAAGCTCTGAACAAATTAAACAGAGATGTAAAAAGAAGGTCATCATCTCCTTTGGAAGAACAGTTCCATTCAATCAAATAGAAAAATGGTTACAGTTATCAACCAAAAGAGCTCATGTTCTAAACTTTCAGTCCTTATCAGAACTCTCTAGAACAGCTACAGATAGTGATTTATTTACAGGAGCTCGCAAAAAATTCTGAACAACAAATACATTGAGAAAATTCTGGCAGCTCCCAAAGACACACTGACTATCCTTGCATAAATAAAAGGCAGAAAGAGCGTCTGCTGTGCTCTCTCCCTCCCATGCATATCTAATAGCAAACACTGCTCATGGAAAATTCTCATAAACAGTGTGGCAAGACAACCCTGCAGAGGGCACCATTCCCCTTCCAGATTGAACGTTACTGGCACATAAACCCATCTGGTATAACCAAAAGGTTATCATATCGTCTTAATTTCTTTGATCTTGCTATTCTTGCATTAGATCTTTCAAGTATAAAACAAAAACAAAAAACAAAGAATTTTTTCTGCTTTGCGTAACCAAAAGGAAGCATTTTTACCCTAGAGGATATATAAGCTTATAAGATATATATAAGCTTTATAGAGCTTATATATTTGCAATAGCAACAAGAACAGAATTGAAATCTTTCCCTCACTCTGCCAGAGCTGATCAGAACAGTAATGTGTCTTAATGTGCATGTGCAAAAGTAGCACTATACACAATTGCTCAGAAAGGAGGGGAAAACAGTGATGGCAAGTTTTACAGGAACATTATAGCGCTTCCTCTTGTTAACAAGAGTAAGTTTCTACTTTTAACTAAAAGAATCCACAGAAATAAACATTATTAGCTACCCCACTCTGTGGCTATCTAGATTTAATGTATAACATTGTCCTTATTATGAAATCTTTAAATGAAATGCACAGCTGAGATAAATCCACATAAATACTGACATCAATGGAAGTTTACTCTTCTAATTCCATTTGGGTCATTTATAACTATTATACTTAGAGGAAATATGTTTCACCAGTAAAATCTTTTAACCCATAGCATGGAGATCCCTGAAAAACTAACACTTATTACACAATTACTATTGGCACAAAAATTGTAGCAGATAGTTTATCTTCTATTTTTAAAACTGACAATTGACAGACTGATGTCTAATTTCAAAATAATCACTTCCTTATTAGTGAAATTATATTTACAGATTCCAAAGTCAGGAAGACAAATTTAAAAATATTATTGAAGATTTTCTAATACAAAATGTGGATGCGTTAAATGAATTAAAGAGACAGGGGTTTCATTAAAATTCCTATGGAGTTCAGCTTACCAAACAGATTTCTGAATTTTGCTTATTTTCTTATCTAGATCATCCTGAAGAATCAAGATTTGCATGTCACAAGTGATTCCAAAGATCTAAAGTTCTCCAACATAGAGAGTCCCTTTGGAAGGGACTTGAAAATGCTCAGATATAAAAGTTGATACATGAAAATGAAACTTCAGAATCCCCTTAATCAATAAAAGGGTGAAAAATGCTTTCAGAACATGAAAAGTGTAAGTAACATTTGGATTAATTTCTAAAAGGCTAACATCAAACAATTAGAGCTGCACAGAAACCAATCCAACTCAAATGGGGACAGGTATGGCTTGGCAGCTGGTTTATAAACGTTATTTTCTTAGCACACAAGCAATAAGACCTCATAAATGACCTATGCCAGAGACTCAGTCCATTCTAGAAGACATGGTGAAAACTTACGACTAGAATTGCAGACATGGGGTTATGTTAGATCATTTTGCTTGCTACATTTTGCCGCTCCAATGTTCTGGGCTATCAAAACAGAAATAATGCGCAAGCATAGTTGCAAAATTACAAAGATGATGAACAGATGGCTTAGTACAGTTTATCTTAGGAACTTTCTGGACTTCAAGCTTAGTTCCCACCAAAACCACAAAACTAAATTATTGTTTTGCTTACTTTCTCAGGCTTTCCCTCTGCAGTCACTGACGCTGTTACCCACTGTCAGACATACTGACACCTGCTGCAAACATAACGACTATTTCTATAGCACTTTTTGCAATTAATGAATCAGCAAAGGCATTTATTTTGTTAGGAGTGCTAGAAAGTTAGCTATGCTTTAAATAAAATAAGTACCCCGTGATGCCCCAGAAGGCCATGCCCTCTCCACCTGAACAATAACCAAGTGACTCTATGGAAAAAAAGTCTCAAAAAGATTTATGAAAACTGAATCAATCCTGAGTCTGTGAACAGGGCCAGAGTTTTTCCCCACTACTTTACACCTAGGAACACTTAACTCACTATGAATGACATAAAACTAGGTTTCTTTCTCAGAAAGAAACAATAGAAGAGAAGGCAAATATGAGTATTTGGCTATCAATTCACATAGATACAAATGTGCCTGCACACATTTCACTTGCACAAAATGCGGAGGTTGGTCTGAAACTAATGCCTCCTATTTATTTCCACGGAAAATACAACAGATACAAAGAGCACAATAGCAGTTGATAGAGCAAATTCTCAGCTAAAAACAACATTTGTCAACATAGTCTCCATCATTAATTATGCATTTTCACCAGCAATGAAGAAAAGTCTGCATGCCATACTCTTGAAATCTGTACCTGCAGAGGTGACCACTGTCATTGTTGGAACTATTGAAACGCATCACCCACTACACCTCACTGTGCTCATATCCAGTGCTTGTCTCCATAAACATTCAGCAAGAGTCCATCCATGTCAATGGGTGCCACTTTTTCCACATGGAGGAATTCAATGAAACACAAACATCAGAAGCTGCCTTGCCAGACTGCCCTTGTGCTGTCACCAATTGCGTGGCAACAAAATGTAATAGAATACTGGTAGGCCCTCAAACAAGAAAGGCATTTCTGTACGTCAAGGTTAAAGAGAAAGAAATTCCTTTTGTAAGAATTCATCTGACTACATTAGCATGCATTAGCATAAGTATAGCACTAATGTGGAATGGCTTATAATTTAAAATGTGGTGACTAATATCAACATGGTATTAAAGCACTCCCTTCATTTGCAGCAACTTCATGATTGTGCATAAATTAATAGTTTCTGTCCCAAGAATTATTGCTATAAAAGACTTAAAGAAAGAAACAACCCGGATGGAAATTTGACAAGAGGTGTGCAGCTAATCTGCCAACAACAATAACAAAAGGCTTCCCTTAGCTGTATTCTTTGTAAGTCTTCAAAATTAGACCTGTCAAATGAGAGAGGTATTCACTACATCATTCTCTGCAGCATAAGAAAGAAGTTAACATTTTCTAAAAGGAAAAGAATCATTTTAATACTGCCCAAAAAGAGTATTTCTTTCTCATCTGCTTTCTCAAAATTGTTTGTGATAAAACTAAAATATATTTTACATTGATACCCAGTATAGAAGTGTAAACCATATCAATGAAGTGAAAGTACAGTGAATAACAACCTTGTAATGGTAAGAGAATCCAAGAACCTCCCTCATTCTAAGTCACACTTCTGACATTATTTTTCTTGACACCAAGTACTAACTGGTGAGTTTTTGTTTATCCATCTGTAATAGATCAGTTGGAATTATACATAGAACTTATGTGAGGCCAAGGAAAACAAACAGAGCAATCCAGAATTGTATTATGTTTAGAACAAACTTTGCAGATTAACTGTGACTGAAGAGAGCTGCACACAGGAGAGAGCAATATAGACCTACAGTGCTATTCATCATATTTCTATCTCTTTGCATAGGAAGCTAAATCTGAGTTATACCTGCACATTCCTTTCCACCAACACTGAAGTTTCCCAGGGATCCTAAAGCAGAGCTAAAGGGGGAGTAATTTTGATACACCAGGTTTGATTAGCATTAGATGTTTCAAAAAGCAAGAGAAACAAAAGCCCTTACAGTTGGCAAAGAATTTTGCTAGAACTTAATGCAAAATCCAATTGCTCCCAACTATTTAGAGGCAAGTTTGTTTTTACCACTGTTTTACACTTAGCTCAACTTCCAAGTTTCCTTGAAAATTTACATCTACAGTGCATTTTATCATGGTGTTCTTTTTTTGTTTTATTGTTTTGTTGTTTTTTTTTTAATTTGAGATATTTTTCTGTAAAGTCTTACCCAGAACATCCTCTTCTTCCCCATCCTCAGAGTCATCAGCTGCATGCCCAGCGATACAGACAAACAGCAGGATAAAGGTTAAAGGTAAGAAACATCCCCTCTTTCTTCCTTTCATCTTCCTGAATAAAAAAACGACAACGTAAACTTGAATCAAGTTCCTTGACAATTCTGTCTAAGTTATGAGCAAGGTAGTACATAGCTTTCAGGCATATATGCAAACTATGAGCTTCCAAAAGAATATAAGATACACTAGCATAGCATTGTAAGCGCAGTGAAGAATAGGACAAGATTTTGTGTTTGTATTCAGCTGATCCCACCTCCAGTACAGACTAGATGCATTGCTATTATTTTTAATTTAAGCAACAATTTTAAACAATTTTCCAGAATCCATAAGTAATTAAAACATAGCACTTTTTAATATAAAGTAGTTTTTAAAGTCAACTGCACAAGCATGGTTGACTGACATTTCTAATTCTTCCAAATAAGTTTTACTGTACCTGAAGACCTAGGATTCATTGTCAAGCATAGGATTGTGGTTTTTTTTTTAAACAAGTATCTCATCATTTTATAGAAATCAGATTCCTTGAAATTGCAATTCACAGCAGTAAACTTCTGCAACATGGAGTTTAATTTTTAAGCAGTATTTTGTATCTTGCAGGCCCTTTTAATATTGAATCCTTTAATTAATAAGTATACTGCTATTCTTTTCTATGTAAGAGCAGTATAGCTGTAGTCATTCACACAAAGGAAACATCTTTATTTCATAGCTATTGGCAAGTTCAAGTTGTGAAAGGTCAAGCTGTACACCATACACAAAAGCATCTCAGGAAAACCTTTGCTTTAAATTTTTAGAAATGAATTTTTAGAAAGAATTTTTCAGAATTTCCAAACTAATTAAAAGTTCATTAGGGAACCCTGAAATCTAATTAGAGAATAGACTCAATATCTCCTTCCCTATAGATGCCTTTTTCTCTTTAAGTAGAATATTAAACTGTGGCTAAGTTGTTAATATATCAGCTTCACAGAAATCTTAATAAGTAGGAAGCTCCTTGCCTACAGGCACTATTTTGTCTTCAGTGTTTTCGTATTCTCATCTATGAAAACAGCTGATACAAACATGCTAAAACAACGAGGGCAAGAGGGTCTGTGAGGAGAGAAGAGCTTATCACTGATGTTTGCATATAGCTTTGTATTAAGAGAGCTGAAGAGATGCTACAGCTACAGCAGGTGGCAAATATGAGCCATCTTTAAGAGATTAAACTTTTCTGACTGGTATATCTTCAGCTAAGAAAAACATTACAATAGTATTTAAGAAAACACAAGCAAGGATGTCTCAGAAGGATGAAATACACACAGAAAACTCCCCCACCAATTTGTAATAGCAGCTCAGAATATGCGCCAGAACCAGAAATTGCTCTTGTATTTCAACGTCAATTCAGAGACAGAATTTTCTCCCTCTACAACTGGTGAACGTCTTCCCCCTACCTACTGCCCCTCACTGATCATCTTTGAAAACAATGCACTATTAGAGGAAAAAAAGAGTCTTTACTGAAATGCCAATTTCAGTATTATCATTTTAGTTTAGGTCTTTATTCCTTCTTCTAGGAATTTACACAGTACAGATTCTAGATTGCAAAATTTAGTAAATCCATTTTTATCGTCACCAAATATTCCCCCAAGTCTGTTTCGAAGAAGAAAAATGTAAGACAATCACCCAAAAGTGAAAATTCTAAATAAATTTCTTCTCCATCTGGAGAAAAATCTTCAAAACAGAATTATGTACATCATGAGCTACCATAACCAATAGTCATCACATGATTCTGAAAATTAATTAGTGCATTACTATAGAGAAGAAAAATCTTTCTAAATTATGGTAATTCTATTATTGCATTTAACTCCTATTTTTCCCTGAAAAGTGGATCATATCAGAAATAAGACTTACTGATGCTTTAGTCTAAATTTTTCATTTTGAGAAATTGCTATCTAACCCAATATATGTTTTATTGCAAAGTCTACTGGCAAGGCAAGAATTGTCTCTCTTCTGGCTAACTTTCCCCCAGGGTCATACACTCTCAAGAGCACTACGTCATGCATAGGTAGAAATTGGATGAAGAAGGTACACGTTTTAGTAGTGAAATGATTAAATCCCTAACCCCTTTAATTCCTTAAGGAACAATAAAATCCAGGATCAAAATCAACTTGGCAGTGCTTTTTAAACTAAACAATTCCAGCCCTCTAGAAAAGCCTAAGTCTTCCGACTGCATATTCAGTTGCCCAGTAACAGAGTTTCAGAGCTGCAAGCATGACACTGATTTTTTATTCTTATTATTTTATCATGCATTTTTAATTCATTCTATTTCTCATTGCATTACTACGGGAAACACAATTCAAAATACTTGATTTATGTTATTCGGCTCAGTAAAATATCAAAGAACTTGAGTGAAGGATTGCACAGCATGGGAATGCTAGGAAATGTTTTGAATACACAGTAATTCATGTTAATTGGTCTGAATATTGAGACCAGAACGTGAAAAGTTTGGGGAGTACAAATAGCTCCTTACACCAGCAAGGTTCTAATCTAGAACAGCCAGAGGTCATTTCAACATTAATACTGGTTTTTCTATACATCAAAATGTCAGTAAGGCAAATTTGCATGAATTCTTAAGAATGGTTCCTTAGTAACTGGCAGGTTGCTGCTCACAAACTAACCAGCTTTTAGATATGTTTTGGTATCTGAAAACAGACAACATCCAAGTTGCCTGATAGCAGAATGAAGTTGTAACACTGTGACTTAGCTACTGATATAATTAAACTCTTTCATTTGTGAGTAAAGCCACCCGCTTCTCTCAAGCTACAGAAAGCAGACCACAAACAATAAAGGAAATTCTGTGATGAAGATCTTTATTATTTGGTCTCACATAATCAGGACTTTTTTACCCTTCTACCTAAATGCAAAAAAATAACAAAAAATTATCTGTTTTTAGCAGAAAAGGCCAGAGAAGTAGAAAACTTGCTGCACTCTCTGAGCCCTTTTTAATGTACGGTTATTTAGCAGACTGTTCTGCACAATTTCTATAGTTACCAGAATGTTTAGAAACAGCTGTTTTTTCAGCATGGTTTTTATCTCTAACCAGTTAATGGGAAAAAGCAAAACAAAAGCTAGCATTTCCGTAGTAGCCAGAAACAGTTTCAGAAAATGCCATAAAGTGACACTGTAATGACTGTAAAAGTGACTCAATCACACTGACAGCACAGGAAATGGTAGGGAGAGAAAAAAAAAAAAAGGAAAAAGACAAAGAATACAGTACATGGAAGAACAAATAGCAGGAGATAGGCTATGTGTAGTCGAAAGTTAAATTTAGCACAGCCTGAAATTAAAGATAAGGAAGTCTAATTAGCACCTCTGTTATAAAAACAGACTTTTATTAGCTCACCACAGTTCTCAGACGTTATATTTGCCCTACAGTATCTTGTACCACCCCTCCAGGAGGCGTATGGCAGATGATTAATTGAACATACCTGTAGCATTGTTTCTCAGCCTGTTCAGTCAGTGAGTTGCCTGAAAGCATTTTTACTGCATGTGCTGTTTTATAGCTATTTGAATTATCATGTTTATTTACTGTCTATCGCACCATTTCTCAATTCTAACAAAATTGTGTCCCTTTACATTGAAAGGCAAGTCACAGGCTATGCAAAACGTTGAGATGTTGAGATGTATCTTCGAGATGCATCTGCATCCTAGTCCTGAAAACACTAGCTGTTTTCACATCAGTTTCACTAACCAACATTTATGTCTCTGTTTGGTACGATGTATCCCACCATGATGCATTGTTAGTACTTTTATTCTCTTGAGTGTCACTATCTTGGGGGCTAGTTACTAAAGGTCTGAGTTTTTTTAGAACAAAGACACATTACACTCAGCAAGAATGCAAGAGCCAAGCCAACTTCCCAGCCTTACCAAACTAGACTTCTGCTAAGATTTATTTTCAGAGTCACATGTTGATTTGACAACATAAAACAGAATGGTTTAAAAAGTAAAGCAAAACATTAGTAGTAAGAGGGATTGATTCCCTTCCACCACTCTGGCAGTACTGTCTTGACAAAGATTTTTCTTTGTGCAAAATTATCCTGAAGCAATATCCAGTTTCCCTTTAGGTACTGCTTTGTGTGTGAAAAAGATTGAGAAAGCACCATGACAATTGTACACTAGCACATCGATCCACCTTTGTCAAGATCTTCTCATCACAGAATCTCTTCCGTGACTAGAAGAGATGTTAATGCAACTAGTTTCTGCATTTAGTTTTTACATTCCACCTGCCTGTTTCCTTTCTTTCATACTTGCAGAAGAGAAGCCCCATTGCATATTAATTCAATTTCTATTTCCACCACATAGAGGACTAATGATGCAAATCAAGGCACCATATGAGCATGTCAGTTATTCCTTTATATGTGACAAGTGCATCTATGTAACATGTCATATTCCAATCTGAGGTAAATCTCTACTCCTCACATCCATCCCTGTTTTCATTGTGACATATCTTTCAACAGTGAAAGGAAATATTAATCTGCTCCTACCAAATGATTTTTAACCATGTACCAAATCAAATCACTAATGTACATTATTTCACAAATCTGAAAACAATCAAAAGCCTACCACAACCACATAGTAGATCCTGTGCTTTGAAAACAATACACCCAAATCAGTCCTGTTACATTTCATGCGAAATACAGCCCATAAGCACTTTGTATTGAACAGATTTAGAAAACTAAGCAGTGAAGGTGTATACAGGATTCATGTAATGGTGCCAAGTCTTAAGTTTCGTACAAAAAGTAGCTGATAGGAGAAAAAATACTGATTTCATTTTCAAACAGGGAACATCTTCAGCATCCTAACAGTAACTACCCTCACATCACAAAAGCAAACAGAATAGACAAGCAGCAAAATTAGTTAGGCTTTAGCAACCAGCACCGCAGCTCAAACAACAAACATCAACATTACAAAGCTTCTAACCTGTCCTTTTAGCTCTTCTCTAATGGATTGAATCACTGCAGTGCTATATACGTGTCAGGTGTGTACATTCTGAAGTTGTACACACTACAGAAATATAGCTCCTTGATT